TATAATGGTTCATTTTTTGCGATTTTATGTTTTATTACAGATATAAACCGATTTCATAATTATAGTAATAACAATACATTATTTATATTAGACAATGCGTATCACGAGTGGAGAAACAAGTTTCCAGAAGAATTAAAATACTGAATTACCATAAACAAGATTGTAAATGCAATTATTGCAGAAATTTAACTGATTTTAGCAATAAAGAAAACATTTATTCTAGACAATGCACGTTACATGTGCAAAGACAGGTTTCTGAAAGAGTGAACTGTTGCTTTACAATTCAGTACTATAATTATGCATGATACTATAACAACAAGATATGCTCACCTGCCGTTTTAATTTTAATCGACTTTGCGCATGACGTCATAGCGAGGCAAAGCTAGGGGACTTGTATGTATCATATGTTAACGATGCATCATATGGCAACGTTGTTCCATTACTGTAATGAACAACTTCGAAACTTAAACTGTTAACGGTAAGTATACCTCGATGCCATATCTTGCACTAAGAAGTCATAACTAGTTACTTTCTGTGAAAACGTGTTTTGAAAATTAATAAGTAATTTGTAAAGTTAATTAAAGAAATATATGAATCTACGATTTGATTGTGTGTATTACAAACAAAATAAATATTGCTACAAAACATAAATTAAATATAAAAGGCCGGCAAAATGTAAAGAATTTGACCATAAAGGAAAAGCGGGTCATACTTGAGACTTTATGAATATCATTGAGACATTTATTTTACAATCTTTGTGATTTTTCTTTTGCCGATATTGTAATTATCTTTAATATTTTGATTTAGAATTCGTATTTTAAAATACATTTTACATCTAAAAAAAAGTAATTTTACATCTTCGCTAACATTTACATATTTTGCAGCTATTTTGCATGTTCCAGTTTACTAGATACTACATACATCTAAAGTAACTTTTTTTTAAAGACCTATCAAAAAGACTACTTTAAGTTCTATTAAAATTGGCATTAGTATATATTATTATCTATAGAAACATTTATTACTATCTATAGAAACATTTCAAATCACGACAAGATCTAAACAACCAACTAGCATAGAAGACAAATGGAATTGTATTAAAAAAGCTATTGTAACCACCACCAAGTCTCTGATCGCTTCCCAAAACAACAAAAAGAAGAATTGGATGACTGACGAAATATTCGCTATAATAACTCGCCCTTAGGGAGAGCGCCCACCAAACTGGCGTGGCAAGTAGCACGTAGCAAGTAGCACGCGTCTAGCATGTTTCTTAAAATGTAACCAATGAAAACGAATGATTAGAATGAATGACGTCACTGTCATTTTGGTGTGCGCTGAATCATTCGTTTTCATTGGTTACATTTTAAGAAACATGCTAGACGCGTGCTACTTGCCACTTGCTACGTGCCACGCCACTTTGGTGGGCGCTCTCACTTACACTTGTACTTGTAAAACAATAAGACTTATTTCTTTTCTAATTAAATACATATAATAGTATTATTATTATTAACCTGCGTAAACAGGTTATGAGCCTAGCTGCAAAAACTTAGAAAAGTGTTTTTAAGTTTGTGTTTTAAACAAAGTCAAATTTGTTTTGCTAAAAGTGTAGTTTGCAGAAAAAATTGTGTTTACAATTTTTGCACGTGTGTTATTTAGTTATGGCTTCGTCCAGCAATCAATTTTTTACGGCTAATGTAAAACAATTTAATGGAGCCGGTTTTGATTGGCGGAAATTTCGATTGGAAAGAACATTGGAACGACATGGCGTTCTTGATGGCATTTCTCAAGACAAACCTGCTAGGACTGACGATAAGTACAAAGACTTTGTTAAAATTGATTCCACTGTATTCAGCTAGTTGCGGATAATATTTTGGAAATAATTAAAACCCAAGAAACTTCGATGGGAATGAGGGAAGCTCTTAAAGCTGCTTACGAAAAGACAGGACTTCAGTCACGAGTACAAATCCAGAAAAAGTTGTATTCGGTAATAACAATACATTATTTATATTAGACAATGCATATCACGCGTCGAGAGACAAGTTTCGAGAAAAATTAAAAGACTGAATTACCATAAATAAGATTGTAGGTGCAATTATTGCAGAAAGTTAACTGATTTTAAAAATAAAGAAAACATTTATTCTAGACAATCCACGTTACATGTGGAGAGACAAGTTTCTGAAAGAGTGAACTGTTGCTGTACAATTCAGTGCTATAATTATATGTACATATGTTGCCAACACATTTGATTTTTATTGATATCTGAAGACTTACTTGTCACTTGTCACTGGTATCTCTACACCTTACACTTGTACTTGTAAAACAATAAAACTTATTTCTTTTCTAATTAAATGCATATAATAATAGTGTTATTATTATTAACCTGCGTAAACATGAACCACTGAATTACTATAAACACTGAAAAGCAGTGATATATAGCCTAATTATGTATAATTTTGAATACTTCAGTCAGATATGAGCAAACTATTTAAGCGGGGATCCACATAAAATAAAAACATTATTAAAGCGGGCCGAAAAAAATTAATCAAACACGTTTTTATTAGTAATAAACTTTATTTTTTAATTTTTCATTACATGTACCTTATGTGCATGAATTATAAAACCATTGAAAAATTTAAATAATTAGATTATCTTTAGCTGAATATGAAGGTGTATGTGGTATATGAAACTGAGCTTCTAAAAGTTGTTCATAATCTGGCAGAAACTGGGATGAGCTGATTCGCAAGTCGTTAAGCTAGGTGCTGGCCAGTCAATCGGTTTCTAGTGCTGTTTTGCGAAAATTTATAGTAGAAAACACCTGATCACGTATGTAGAAAGATGCAAACATTGCAATGATCTTCTGAGAATAAGATTTTAGGCTTGAGAATTTTGATTTTAGCATGGTCTTATAGAACCCAGTTTTAGAAACATTGAAAAATAGTTGCAACGTAATTCAGTGTTGCATTGGGCTGCAATTTTGATTTTACTGATTTATGGTCCACATTAAACGGCATGCTGAAAATGTCCAGGTCCTGTTCGATAACTTTAAAGTCTTAGAATATTCGCTCAAACTCGGCGTTGACATTTATGATTTTCTCATAGCTCTTAAGACTGTCTTCCCCAACTGTAATAGTTTTTAGCTTTGGAAAATGAGTAAGGTCTTTCTTGCTTACATCTTACTTTAATGTAATAAAGTACATTATTATATTCAGACCTCAATAAATCAAGAAAGTCTTGAAACTGTCTATAATTGAGAGCTCGTGAACGAATGCTATTAACAAGCTTAATAACAACATCAAAAACATGTTTAATATCTTGAGCAGATTGACACAGGGCATTTTGAATCTAATTTGAATCTTGAAAACTACTTTAATCCCAGAAAATGATTCCTTAAATATGCCTAGGAAACAAGATTGTTTCCCTGTCATGTTTGGTGCTCTATCAGTAGTAATGTTACAAATATTGTTCACAGGTACTTTTAAAGATGTGGTAGTTTCTTTAAATTCTTGAAAAATACCTGATTCTTTGGTCGTTTCCTTCATTGGACGCATATAAGTTAATTCTTCAGTAACGCAAAAGTTTTCATCATCAATACTACTTCGATCCCAGAAAATGATTCCTTAAATATGCCTAGGAAACAAGATTGTTTCTCTGTCATGTTTGGTGCTCTATCAGTAGTAATGTTACAAATATTGTTCACAGGTACTTTTAAAGACGTGGTAGTTTCTTTAAATTCTTGAAAAATATCTGATTCTTTTGCCGTTCCCTTCATTGGACGCATACAGGCTAATTCTTCATTAACACAAAAGTTTTCATCAATACCTCTTCCAAATATTTGTTATCTCTATACTTTCATCCAACGCAAAAGAATAGAATATAAACTCTCTTATCTTTGACGCCAGTTGTAAGACAAGCTGCCTATCGATTACTTTAATATTAAAAGTAATTGTTTTTAGGGACAAACTTACTATCTCAAAGTCTGTGTTTTTCTTAGGACACAATACTTCACATACTTGAAGCATACAAGTTTTTATTAATTGAAGGGTCCGTTGCAAAAAGGATGCAGCTCCATTATTATAAAATGTTCAGGAGAGAATAAACACTGGTTAATTTAAAAAATATGTATTTTTCCTTACTTCTCAAAATACTACGCTTTAGTATAGTAAAGAATACGTATTGTCCGTAAACTAATTTTCGAAACCAAATTCAAATTTTTGCTTTAATATGTTCTTTCTAAGAATTGCAAGGCAAAACAGACGTTGATAAAGATGTTATTAGAGACATGGGGAATCTATCAAGCTCGTAAGTAGAGCTCCTATTTTTTCCTTTCGTTCTTTTTCAGTCATAGCTTCATAGGTGGTATTGTTATGTTTTGTCATGGAGTGTCGGGAGAGGATAAATTCCCTACATACGACTACAGCTTCATTGCAATTAGGCTCACAGGTTTATCCTAAATAGGCGTGAAAAAGTATTTACAAGGTTATTTATTTTTAAAAACAAGACTTTCTGAATAAACTTTACATTTTTAAGTTGTTATTTTAACAATAAACATGTCAAAATCTACACGACTACAAATCGCAAGTGGAGGGCTAGCCTAATACAGACAAGATACACTACATTGAAAGAATATAGATTGAATCATACATGATCGTGGGAAAACATGTTTCATATCGAACCGTTTTTAATTTTGAAATTATAAATTGAAATCATAAACGTCATAAATCGTATGTCTGTATCTATCGAGTGGCTTCCACCAAATGGGGTGGTTGTCTAAGATTACTTTTTCTCTAAACATTAGTTACTGATAGCACCGGCTAAAATATTTAATTCGTCTATAGTGCGTAACTACTCGTAATACATTATTTATTAAAGTATTATTATTTCATAGTACCATAGAAACAAATATAGAAAAGTAATTGACGTATCTGCATTTTTGCGATATTACTATAGCCCTTATTTTTTATATGCTTGTAGCCTAAAACTAATATTATTAAACTTTGTTTCAGTTCGGCGAGTTCCACCTCAATTTTCAATACCTCCCCCAACAATGAGCGAAGTCAAATTGGGTGATGACCTCAATTTGACTTGTGTGGCTGTAGGTTCCCCGATGCCATTTGTAAAATGGCGCAAAGGGCTAACACAAGAACTTACTCCTGAAGATAAACTGCCCGTGGGGAAGAATACTCTTGAACTCACTAATATTCAGGAGTCAGCCAACTATACGTGCATCGCAGCCAGTGCTTTGGGAGTCATCGAAGCCTTGGCACAGGTTAAAGTACAATGTAAGTATAACTTTTGATACTTATACCCCCTTTTTTCAATATCACTTGCTCCATCTATACAACGTTAATGAAATTATCTTGTAAACGCCTGTTTACGGCCTCTGTCATGAAGCAGATATAATTAGTTATTAGTTGATTGTTTTGAACAGTACATATGCGTTTTTAGTTAACAAAGTTGAAATATCGGCCGAAAAATATTCCATGGTAAGTATTGCTAAACCAATTTATTATTAAATATCATTATTTCCAACTAGCAGTGAATGTGTTTTAGAAAATATCTTTGTGATTATGTTAAAAAATAAATCTTTGTAATAATTTAGGAAAAGGTACCAATAGGTAGGGTAAAAATGGTACCCCGGTTTACCCTATTGGTTTTACTCCGTGAGTATATGTTAACAATATGATCTATTTATTTTATTATAGAACTAATATATTATTTTATGCAAGGTTCCAAAAAAATGTTAGGTTTTGTTCCAGATGGTTACCTACAAAAGGAAAACTAATCGTCAAAAATGGTCAACAGAGAATATGAAACAGGCTGTAAATGCAGAGTAGTAATTGGTGAGTTACTACCCAGCATGAATTGCATTTGCTGTTCCTCGGATAACTTTAGAACGAGACGTGAAAAAACGAGATAATGCAAGTTATTCTATTGTAAAAGTTTTAGGCGCTAAAAGACCTGTTTTCATTCCCGAACAAGAAGTAGAACTTGTTTCTTATCTTAAAGATATGGAAGCAAGATTGTTCAGCTTGGTCATAGAAGAATGTAGGCAACTTGCATTCCATTTGACCTTTTTGATCTTGCTGATAAAAATAGGATTGAGCACACCTTTAATAAAAATCATGAAATGGCTGGACAGGGATGGATGCAGGGATTTTTAAATAGGCACAAAGAGTAGTCAATCAGAAAGTCCGAGGCTACGTCAGGTGCCCGTGCGATGAAATTTAACAAAGGGGTTGTTCAACAATTCTTTAAACTGTTGGAAGAAACTGGCCAGAAATATAAATTAACAGAAGAAAAAAAATGCAACGTTAATGAAACAGTTACGATCTATCCAAATGGGGTTTTTATATTTATAGCTTTAAAAGGAAAGCGTCAAGTTGTGGAAATTATATGTTTTCCACCTCAATGTACGCATCGTCTGCAGGCCTTAGATGTTGCATTTATGAAACCACTAACTGCATATTATAACAATAAAGTAAGGAAATAGCTTAGAACACATCCTAGAAGAGTCGTAACATTTCAACAAATTTCTTCCTTATTCAGTGCCGCATATTTAAGATCAGCGACAATTGATAGTGCGAGAAACTGTTTTAAAGCAACCGGCTTGTGGCTTATGAATATGGCCGTTTTTTCTGAAGCAATTTTTTTGCCTTCATCTACAACTGATATAGAAATTGACTTCAGAAGAACTGAAAATTAAACAGATCCCATTCTACATTCCATTAGAGGGAAAACTCGACAGAGTGATGGATAACCTGTTTCAGTTACCATAAATGGGCTCATAAATTCATGTGCATGAATTTCATAACCCATTTTACCCTATACGACGAGCATAATGGGGTAATTTAGATTATTTTCTGTTATTTTTATATAATAAGAAACTTTTACTTTTTTAAATTTAAGTTAATTTGATAACTAGTTACTGCAAAAAGTCCGAGGCTACAATGATATTTGACTTATTTCAAGACCTTGAAAGTTGCAAATTTGTTTTAAATTCCAATTTAAACCTTAAGCACCACATTTTGCCCTCGTTTCCCCTAAAAGTATTCAAGGTATTTGTGGAACCACGTGTAACGTAAGATCTGTTAACGTTTTATTCCCATCTCTGACCTACAACTCTTTGTAACTGTTTGTTGTTTATTATTATCTGACTGTTATAATAAGATGATAAAAAGGTAAACTTAAGACTACGATATAATATGTATATTTTAATTTAAAACAATATTACAAGAAAAAGTTAAAATTAAATTTATTTTGTAGAAAAAAATATACCTAACATTTTTGTAATCAGTAATTCTTGTAAAATTTAAGAACATATTTACTATTTTTTAATGAAATGTATTATGTATATCGCTTTTTTATTTTAATTATTAGCAGGAGTTTTTAATTTAAAGATACAAACATTTTATTTGTGTTAAAATTTGTTGCTGCCATCTCTATACGAAAATTCGATTTAATCGATTGTTGGTGACAACACCCTTCTCATATCGATCTAAAAACCGATTGTTAATACTCGTGGTAAATCGAGAGCTTATGTTTATTTTTTTGTTAATAACGATAAGTAAGTCAACTTGTTGACACCACTTTCAGGACCAAATTTTACAATATGACTGAATTTGATAAAGAAAACGGTGAAAAAAAGTTACTTAGAGTGAAATTATGCATTCATTTTCACTAAAAGTCCGTGTTATAAGTGATAAACTTCCCAGTGATGTACGTTTAAAGTGTCGTTTATATGTGAAAAGTGTGTGCAGAAAGCTCCAAGAATTAACATCATGATGTTAATTTTTATATTTATAACATTACCAGTGATTTTTGCAGAAAGTAAGATTTTTTAATATAACTAGAATAGCGAAAATTTTTTATATTGAGATGATTGAATTGTTTTGTTGTGATCGAGATAAAATTATCTGTCCTTTAACTTACATCCCGAGATCATTGACTTCGCAAGATATTAAAAATAGAAAACTTTTAAAAGGATTAGATCTTACACAAATTACGCAAGAAAAGAGAATTTTATAACCTGAAAGGTTTTTCTGGTCCATTTTAAAAATATTTATATGTGCTTTTAGCAGTACCAACTATGATTCTTTTTATTATACCAGTTTCCACTCTTTTCACACCTACACACATTCTTGATAACTATAAGGTACAATTAATGTCATTGTTTAAGGCTATAATCTGAAATTTATGTGTTTCAAACATATTTGAGGCAATAAATTTATGTAAATTAGTTTCTATGTGGTACAGATTCCCATGAAGAGAAAACATTCTTTGTATATTATGTTCACACCATTTCTAGGTGATAGAAGTGTGCTGTGGAGTTAGGAGAACCCAAAAATGGAATATTATATTTGTAATAAAATATATTGTTACCCTAAATAATTACTAAATTGGCATAAGGTGTGGATTATACAGTCTATACAAAAATTGACAACATCATATTAAAAGGCAAAGGATATTTTCTGTATTCTGTAAAATTGTCCAGATTTAGTTGTAAATACATTTATTAATAAATACTATATGATTTATAAACTTGGTAGGTTTAAGTACTTGCCTGGTATATCTAAGAGCACACACGGCATGTATCTTTAAACTTCCAATTACATAATGAAAACATTTTCAATGTGAGCTGAAAACATTTTCAATGTGAGCTGAGAAATTTAAGCACAATAGACCAAATTGATAATGACTGACAAATCCACAGGCTTTAAGATTTTCTAATTTATAAGTTTGCATTTATTTCTTATCAAAAAATGTATTGTACGTATTGGCTCATTTTTTACAATTCCATAAGTACTATATTTCACAGTTTTTTATATATTTTTTATTTATTTTCAAACCAAGAAATACTAATACTTGGTTATTAGTGATCTGCAGTAATACAATATGCAGGATGTACAAATATCTATGTCCCAAGTTAAACAAATTGTTCTGGAGTAAATTGCTCTATTGAACTGCATTTTCCGGAGTGTATAGCTCTATTGAACTAAACTTACTTTACCAATATGCACATAAAAAGGTTAGACCCTTTGAAGTTACATAATGCAAATCAAATTTTTCCATTATTCAGTGAACTGTTTTAACCCAAAATTGTTGTGTATGTTACAATTAAATTATTGTGGTATCATTAAAGGGGAAATACACCATTCAATTCGGTTGAACAATGTGGATGTTTCAACCAAAATGAACCATGTATTTTGCAATTCAATAAAAGCTTTCAACCAAATTGAATGCTGAAATGAGTTGAGCCAATTTCTACTTTTGTTCAACTTATTGATTGTGTTTGATTCAACTATTTATTTCATTTTGACTTGTGATATAATAATTTTCGTATGTATGTTTGGAATCACATACATTGTTTAACTGAATTGAATGAAGAATAAATTGAAGCATTTATATGTATGCTTTTCAATTTTATTGAACAATGTTATTAAATCATCCACATTGTTCAACCAAATTGAATGGTGTATTTCTGCCTTTAGTTTAATACATTGTTTTTGAAACAACTTACCTCTGGGTACTTTTTGAAAATATTCTGCATTTTTCGTTATAAGTAATAGGTGCTTTAAAAAATTGATAGCAGCACCTATGACATTTATAGTGCGCTATTTATATAGCTGAATAAAGAAATTTAAGTTGCCAACACAAAAAAACATCTAGAATGCTCTGCTCCAATTTAGAGCAATTAATTTGACTAATGATTAAATATTTTTGTACCATGTTACCTTTAAATGATAACTCACATCCTGCGAAACCCCCTACTCTGCATACTAAAGAATCTATTGCTACTGTCAAGTGTAGCATTGAGGAAGACCTCAATAAGTCTGTTTGCCATCATGCACAATAATTAGATCTGTGTCCACCCATTTTATGGAAGATTTTATAAGATCTTTTGTGGATGTACAGAATCCAACTTGTGTAAGAATGGAAGCTTCACTACCTCAGAGCACTAATACATTCAATGAATGGGTCCAAACTGAGGTTGCTATTGATCTAATTTTCACAAGAAAATGTTGTCCTCCAATGAAGCACATGTTTGTTTGAATGGCTATATATATTTAAGCAACTATCACATTTTGCTGGAATATTGAAAATAGTCCTCAAATACTTGTTGACATGTGGTTTTATCTATAAAAGCTGACTGTTATAATTCTCGCCACTTTATAAGCTATTGGAATCATTTATTCTTGACCTCGAATAAACCATGATCAATGATTTTTGTTTCTGAATTAAATGGGCTTGGTGTGAAGCAATAGTGGTTTCAACAAAACGGCACAGCATGTCGAACAGAGCATGTCACAATCAATGTATTAAAGAAAACATTAGGGAATGCATCCTTTCACGTCATAGGCCAGTACATTGGTTTCTAATACCATGTGATATAACACTGCTGCACTATAACTAAATCACTAGTTTATGTCATAAGCTTGAGATGATTGACCACTTGGAAGATAACATTCTCTATCTTATTACTGATATATGACCCCAAATACTGAAATGAGCTATGAGCAATTTGGACCTCTCAATTGGACTACAGCCACACCATATCAAAGTTATATAAAACTTATAGTTATAATATACTTAAAACATTACATATCTCCAATAACAAAATTAAGCAATAACTTGCACCTACTTCTTGACCTCATAGAGGTCCAGATCTTAACTTTATTAACTCTTGTTCCTGGATTTTCCTAATTTGCTTCCTGTAATTTTTCACATTTGCATATTTAATTCTAGCGTTTGTTGTAGTGGCAAGTTTAAAAAATAATCCAGTGTAGACTGCACTAGTTTATAATGTATGACAAGTTACATCATTATACCAAATACAAATAACCAAATGTGTAGATAGCAAAAGAAGGAACAAACCCTAATTTACGGGTTGCAAAACCCTTTTAGGTACAAAAAAGTCATGTAAAAAGGAAATTCTTTTTAGACACCAGGGTGGAGGCAAACCAAAATATTTAAAAATTGTGTTTTTTGTTTCTTCTCACAGGCAAAAAAGTTATTCAATTAGCAACAGGTCTTCATACTGGAAACAGTCTTTTGATATAACCTCAATAAGATGACCACCTCAATAAATAAACAACAATAGATAGGCAACATGACAATAGATAGATACTCACAAAAATTGACAATGAGAATGAGTTATCATATCTGAAATTGTTATATTTATAGCTTAACTTTCTAGAAAGTGTTAACTGTACTCACACCTTTTTTTAAACCTGACTTGGAAGATATCCAAGACAACGCTGAACTATAGTAAAAAATCACCTGTTAACTAAAACCATCCCACTTCAGCAATATGTCTGGGATGTATTCTTGGTGAACATTTCTTCAAATATATTATATACAACATATATAAATAATAAAACAATAAAGTAAACATATTTAAATATATATTCTTCTATATTCTTATTCTTAGAGTGCCTGTCCGTTCCGAATGTTGGCAATCATTCTGGCTATGATGACTTTGTTTGTTGCTATACGAAATAGCTGTGTTGAGGTCTTTCTATGCTCTCAGATTAGCAATGCAGGATATTCTTCTTTGTCCTGGGGTCATTTTTCCTTCAATTTTACCTTGCAAAATGCATTGAAGTAGATCATATCTGCCTTGATTTCTCATTATATGTCTTAAGTACTGCAGCTAACGGCCCTTCACGATGTTGACCAAATCTGCGGTTGTGTTCATCCTCCACAGTACTTCTTCATTGGTGACTTTGTCTGTTCATGGTATCTTTCAAACAATATATATGATAAATTAAAAACAGACAAAACAAATAATCCTTTTTTCTAATGTCTCATCCTGGCTTGTATTTTATAGCCTCTTTGTTTTGTTTACACATATTTGGGTTTAGCACACAGTTAAACTGCTTAATATTTTTTTATTGCATCTATTATATGGTTTGTTGTAACCATTCCTAGCATAGCTCTCATCTGATGTTGCTGTGCAAAAGCATTATGATAATCTGGCATGCTGCTGTATATGCAGGTATTGTCATTTGTTTTCTTTGTTTTGTATGTATAAGGTCTAACTGAAACATGGCCATTCAATAATCATGTAAAATATGAGTTCACTCTTTTAAGCCAACATTTATACCAAGCTTTCACATAGGTATCAGCATTTTTGGTCACTATACATTTTCTCTTTTTGTCTCCAATTCATTATACTATTCTTTGAGGATTAATGTATTTTTCTTATATGTAGCTATTCTTAGGAGAACTACTCAAATAAGAAAAAAGTAAACTACCCAACAACTAACCAAACACCTGTCTTTGGCGTAATATTCATTAGAATCAAAATTCTCATGTCTACATTCTTGACTACATTAATCTGGTATTTGATGTATCGCATACCTGAATCAAACTATCTCGTGGTCAAACTAACTGTCTTATCTCGTGGTTGAAAAACCTTCGACAATGGTTTCGGATGACCTCCATGCTAAGCTGTTTCGCAGAGGAGTCGATAAAACCATGATGGCCAACATCTGGACCGGATAATTCACTGAAGAAGAAGAATCAGACTATACTAATGTGACACTCTAGATGTTTTAAGCCTCGTTATGATGTGTATCTAGTTAGCAGAGTTAAATACTTTCTTCACATCAAACATCATGAAGATGGCCCATCTTTTTCTTGTACTTCTACAGTATCATATATAAATTGAACCAAAATCGTTTTTAATATTCAGAGCTTTCTGGGTTCAAGTATTAGTGTTAGTTTTACAAGCTTCAATTCATTTAGGAACTTTAGGAAACATTCATAATTGAATGTATTTATTCATTATTCCATCTGAATATTATTAATATCAACAGTATTATGCAATCTTCCATGGTGGACTCACTAGGTCGAAGATATCTATGTAGAAATATATTTTTGTATTTTATATTTATATTTTATATTTTACATACATATATAATACCTATGACCTTAGATACTCTTTTTCTTTTTTTTTGTTCTTATTGCAGCATAGAATTTTTCATATTACTTACTTAAAGATAAACTTTTTTCAGCTTTACCTGGACCACCAACAAATGTAAAAGTATCTGAAATCACAGCTACGTCTGTAAGACTCACTTGGTCTTATAATGGTCCAGAGGACTTGCAATACTATGTTATCCAGTTTAAGCCCAAATATGCCAACCAGGCTTACAGTGAAATCAGTGGTATTATCACCATGTACTATTCTGTTAGGAACCTGAGCCCCTACACAGAATATGAAATGTTTGTGATTGCTGTTAACAGCATAGGTAGGGGACCTACTAGTGCACCTGCTGTTGTTACTACTGGGGAAACTGGTAAGTTGATCTTTAAGTCTGTTATATACATATAAAAATGTCACAAAGTTACTTCTATTAAATAAAATTATTATATTTATTTTAAGAATTTAAAATTAGGTTATTACGTTATTCTCGGATGCAGTGATTTCCAACCTGTAGAACTGTTCTCTATTGTTAATAATTTTACAAAAGAAAAATCGTCAAAAGACACTGTATGGTTCTTAAAAGAAGCTGGTGTGATTTTTACCAACATGAAATGTTATGGTGGATATAACTGCAATACATTCACAAATTAACTCACAGAAATGCATAAGATTACTGCAGAGGAGCACACAGTTTTGAAATTTGGAAAATAATCCTCAATTGTACATGTGCTGTAAATAAAATAGGAAAATCAATTTATTTACAATCACTTGTGTGTCCAGTCTATGTAGACAATGGTCATTACTTTAAGGATCTCAACAGATTAAAAATGTAATTACTTACTTAGCACATTGAAACAAATGTTACTGCAAGAAATTAATAGTGTTGCATTTGGCTACAAGTAAGAATGATTTTCTTACCTGAACATATTATGGTCTAGCACTTTTATTGCTATGTATAACATCTTAACTGATTTTTCTGCATTGACTCTTTTAATGAAAAAGTTCAATCTTGTTTAATGAATGAAAAGGAACTGAAAATAGAGGATGTTCACAATAACACTGTACTTCGAAAACAATTTTGCTAAAAAACAAGATCATCATCAAATGATATGTTATATTAATTATAAATTATATTTTTTATAAGGTTGTTTTTAGTATATTGATAATTATTGTTGCTTAAAAGTAACTATAGTTTTATACAAACAACATGATATAGTATATTTCAGCATTCTTGGCATGCACGGATCAGAATTGGCAACACCACGTCGGAGGAATTCCACATTGACACCGAGCTTAGACAAGGAGATCCTCTCGCTCCCCTGCTGTTTAACTTCGCACTGGAACATGCAGTAAGGAAAGCTCAGCCACAATTGACAAACGGATTTGCCGCACAAGGATCAAAAATACTATTGGCCTTTGCGGATGACGTGGACACAATAGCACAATCCACCAGAGCTGCAAAAGAAGTTTTCACCCTATTCGAGACCGGAGCCAAGGAAATTGGTCTTAAGGTAAACGAGGATAAGACCAAGTACATGGTAGTTACGAAGAACCCAAGACCAAGGGTTAGGCAAAACGTAACAATTAACGAATATAACTTCGAAGTCGTCAAAGAGTTTAAGTATCTGGGAGCGATCATAACATCTGAAAACAAATATGAAAATGACGTGGCAGCCAGGATAATAGCAGGAAACAGGACATATTACTCTTTAATGACCATCCTTAAATCAAAAATACTCTCAAGATCAGCAAAAATAAGAGTATACAAGACAATAATTCGACCCACAATAACGTATGGAAGCGAGACATGGACGCTGAACCAGCGGGAAACGACAAAATTACTGGTTCTTGAAAGAAAGATACTGCGGACTATCTATGGGCCTTGTAGAGAAGAAACAACAGGAGAGTGGAGAAGAAGACACAATAATGAACTCCAGACAATATATGGAGATGAAAACATAGTCCGCTACATTAAAGCAAACCGAATAAGATGGGCGGGCCACGTCCTAAGGTCAAATAACGAAAGACTTCTGAACACCACATTCTGGGAAAGGCCCGATGGCAGAAGGTCAGTTGGCCGCCCAAGAAAGAGATGGAAGGACGCAGTGGCCAGTGATCTACGTAAAATGGGAGTGCAGCAGTGGGAAATAGCTGCTCAGGACCGACAACAATGGAGGGAAATAGTAAATGCGGCCAAGACTCACCTAGAGTTGTAGAGCCAAATGATGATGATGATGATTCTTGGCATGCACCTATTTCACTATTTATTTTGTGATCTCTCTCATAGAGATATTTATTGATAAATTCTCCATAACATGTGATTCCTTCATGGGTTTTTGTCACTGTCAGTTTTAACAGTTGCACGATTTATTTAATGTGAAGGTGAATAATTAATCTCAAACTTTGAAATTTACATTTAGTAAAGCGCTATAAGAGTTGAACTTGCTTTACTACACAATAATAATTACAAAAATTCCTGGAAATATGTAGGTAGGCATAGTCAACAATGTGTACTCAATTTGTTGGGAACTTAATAGAGTAAAAGAATATCTTGCCTCTATTTTATTTCTCATATTTGCAAGGAGTTGCGACACATAGTGAACAATGCATATAAACTGATGCAGCAAAGAAGAACCTGAGAAAAAGAACAAAAATATAAAGATCTTAGAAGAGAAGAGAAGTACATCCATTGGAGAAAAAAGCGAACTTATAAAAATAGAATATTGGAAGAATTTGAGGCATTAAAAAAGGAAAATCAAACAAGAAAATTCTATAAAAATCTGAATAATGCAAGAAAAGAATTTAAACCAAGGATCGGACTATGTAAGGATAAGGAGGGGCATATACTCTATACAAAAGAAGAAGTATTGAAAAGGTGGGTGGAACACTATAAAGAACTACTTACTATCGAAGTAGAAGATCCAAATCAACCACCCCAGGAGCAAGCAACAATACACCATTGGAACCTCCATCAATTCAAGAAGTACGGGATGCAATAAAACGCCTAAAAAATAATAAATCTCCAGGAAGTGATGGTATACCCGCGGAACTTATTAAATGTGGAGGTGCTACTCTGACTAACCATATATATAAAATCATACTGAGAGCCTGGAATGAGGAACAAATCCCGGAAGAGTGGTGTATTGGGATCGTTTGCCCGCTACACAAAAAGGGTGATCAATTGGAATGTAGAAACTATAGGGGAATAACTCTCCTTAATACAGCATACAAAATATTTTCGAGTATTTTATATAGTCGCCTGAGTGCATATTCAGAGGAGCTTCTTGGCGAATATCAAAGTGGTTTTAGGCCTGGTCGATCAACAACAGACCAGATCTTTGTGCTAAGGCAAATACTGGAAAAAACCAATGAATTCAATATCGACACATACCATCTTTTCGTAGATTTTAAATCGGCCTATGATAGTGTCCTAAGAAATAAATTATATGAAGCCATGGATGAATATCACATCCCCGATAAACTGATAAGATTGGTTAAGGCTACAATGCGTAAAGTTGTTTGCAAAGTCGAAATACAAGGCGAGCAATCACAGACATTTGAAACGCATGTTGGGCTGCGACAGGAGATGCGCTGGCGTGTCTCCTTTTCAACATATCTCTGGAAAAGGCGGTCAGGGATGCCCAAATAGACAACAGAGAAAACATTTTTAATAAATCATCCCAAATTTTGGCATATACAGATGATGTTGACCTAGTTGCCCGCACAACACGCAAACTAGAAGAAATGTATACCACCTTATCAAATGCCTCAAAAAATATGGGCCTGCAAGTAAATGAGGAGAAAACTAAGATAATGGCATCAACACCCAACAATAGAGCCAGAAACATCGGCCACCAATTCACTGTTGATAACTCTACCTTTGAAGTGGTGGACAAATTCACATACTTAGGCTCCTTGATCACCAAGGAGAACGTCATGACGGAAGAAATCAAGCGAAGAATAATCCTAGCAAACAAATGCTATTTTGGATTGAGTAGACATATGAGAAGCAGAAATTTAAGCCAAAAAACAAAAATAACCATATACAAAACCCTTATACAACCAGTGTTGACATATGGATCGGAGACATGGACCATTTCCAAGGCAGATGAAAACCTCCTGCTTATATTTGAACGAAGGATCCTGAGAAGAATATTCGGTGGCATCTGTGAAAATGGTATTTGGAGAAGGAGGTACAACTATGAGATATATCACAGATATAAATATATATTTGGTGGTAAAGACGTAGTATCTCTTATAAAAATAGAAGACTAAGATGGGCAGGACATCTGGCAAGATCACAGCAGAACAACCCTCCTAGAAGAATCCTTATGTCACAACCTGTGGGAAGTAGAAGTAGGGGTAGGCCAAAACTCAGATGGAGGGATGGTGTAGATGAGGATGGTAGAAAAATAGGCGCAGCAAACTGGCAACAGTTGGCAATGGATAGAACTGACTGGCGTAATAGACTTGGGAAGGTCGAGGCTCTTTTATAGGGCTATAGCACCAATGATGATGATGATGCAACAGATAGTTACAAGAATAAAAATATGAAGCTAAGTGCAATTACTAATCATATATGAGCTGAATAGTTGCAAAGAAAGGACTGATTATGTATGTTATCCTGATAAAACAAAAAGTAGCGGGAGTTTTATTGAATGCAAACAAAAGTACAGTATTATGTCCAAATACTTAATGCAGAACTAAAGAAAATGTACTTAATGTAATTAGATATGCGGATGATACACTAACTCTGTCAGAAAATATGGAAGGTCTCTAAATACCATAATTAAGACATTAAAATAAACTCAAGGAAAACCAAATTTTTAGTCTTTTGTCATATAACTCACATTTAGACGCAGAGCTTCAATTAAATTAAAAATTGAAAAAGTTCACAAAATTACGTATTTCGGAACTAACGGACCTACTAGATCCAGACATAGAAATAAAATGCCGAATAGCAATGACTAAAACTACTTTTATTTCTTTGCAATAATCATCTCCGTTTAGAATTAAGACAAAGAATTTTTACATACTATATTTGATCTGTACTTTTGTATGGAGTGGAAGTGGACACTAAAAGTATTAAGCATGAACATAATTGAAGCATTGGAAATGTGGATTCATATACGGATGCCGAAGATACCTTGGACAGTAAGAAAATTGAACGAGGAAGTACTAAGGAGGGTCAACAAAGATAGAGAATAGCTAAACACCGGAAAATGTCTTATCTAAGACATATAGTGAGTGGAAATCGATATAGAACTGATCCTTAACGACAAAATAGAAGGCTGTAGAGGTGTGGGAAGAAACAGGTTTCTTGTTAAAAACATTCCTAAATGGACTCAGATATCAAATGCAGAGCAGTTATTCCATGTGACAGAAGATCGAGAACCCTTCGCAATGGTGATAGCCAATGTCGGATAATTCTGATATGGCACGTGAAGATGAAGACCTGAAAAAAAATATATT